TCCTCACCCCGTGTCCTGACCCCCAGCCTCATCCTGACCCCATCCCCACCCCTCGGGAAACCTGAGGGCGAGGCCCTGGCCAGGAGGACAGTGATGCCCACCCAGATCTGCCCCTGAGGTGGCAGCAGGCTGGTGGCCTGGCCTGGCTGGTGGCCTCTGCCAGCCGCCGAGCTGCCCAGGCCTCAGTGTGCAGATGCTGGCCCACAGCTGCTCACCTTCGGGTGCAAAAGCTGTGTGTGTTACCTGGGGGCTGTGGACCTGTGTGTATTCACCTGCGTGCGTGTCACCTCTGGGCTGTGGACCTGTGAGCTGTGGGTCTGTGTGTATTCACCTGCGTGCGTGTTTACTTGTGCGGTGTTCACTTGTGTGTGTGTTCACCTGTGGGCTGTGGACCTGTGTGCTGTGGATCTGTGCACACGTTCACCTGTGCCCCTGTTCACCTGTGCTGTGTTCACCTGTGTGTATGTTCATCCGTAGGCCGTGGATCACCTTTGTGCCATGTTCATCTGTGCCCGAGTTACCCATGGCCCGTGGATCTGTGCGTGTGTGCACCTGTGGGCTGTGTCAGTGGCACCGTGAGCCTCACAGAGGGCCTGTCCCGCCCCTTCATGCCTGTGTCAGGAGGGCTGCACCTTTCCCAACCGGCTGCCAGCTGCCAGTGCTCTTTGTTCATTTGGCTTGGGACTATGGAGAAGATGGCTGAGCCTGGAGGAAAAAGGGGAAAATAATCTAATGGTTTAGGGTCCTGGAAGTTACAAAGTAGCTATCTCTTACGTGTGTAATAAAATTGATTGTGATGACAGACAGATGTGTAAAAAGTTGACAGAATGTTGAGATAAATGAAAATGGGCTTTAGCTATGTGTTTAGTGTAAATTCTTCAGGATCATTGAAGTTAGGGTGCTCACAGTGCTTTATCAGTGACAAAGGTTGATATTAGGCTTCTCCTACTAGTTTTTACCCAATTCAGTCTTTTGAGAGGCAAGTCTACTAAAAACATAGAAAAACAATCCACCCTCATACTTAAAAAATTGCTGGAAGTGTCAAAATGCTAAGTTGAAAGATGTAATTCAGTAAAGTGGCATGAAAATCCTTTTCTAAATTGATGAGAACATTCAGGATTATAGTTATCAGTTCTTTCTGCCAGAAAAACGTAGAGAACCTAAAAATTGTCTATGGTTATGGGGTACCATATAGTGTTTCAATACAGGTATTGATGGTGTGATATTTAAAGAAACCCCGCCTTTTAATACTCTTTTGAATGTTTTTCCAGTACTAGAGATTGAACCCAGGACCTCTGGGCAGAGCTGCATCCCCAGCACTTGGAATTTTTGTAGTTTGGGAGAGGGTCTTGTTATGTTGCTGGCTTGCCTACGCTCCCGCCCCTGCTTCCCTGAGTGCTGGGCTTCCAGATGCCATTACACCCAGCTGAAATTATATTTATTTCCAATCATTTCTTAGGTTATTTGATACACTTCTTACTTTTAGAGATGGACTTGCTGATGATAGAAAGTACTTGCAGTTATTGTATTCTTTATTCACAGTGCATTAAGAGGGTGTGAGAAGATACATTTTTTTTTTTTTTTTTTTGGTTTTTCTCCGGTACCAGGAACCGAACTCACGACCTTGCGCTTGCCAGGCAAGCGCTTTTGCCGCTGAGCTAAATCCCCAGCCCCTACATTTTTAAAATACAGTGAAGTTGTGCCTCAGTGTTTAGCTGTTACAGGAAGGAAAGTGGTTGTGTGCGACCTGCCTTGGAAAGCAAGATTGACACTGGTGATTTGTGGAGAGAAGCAGCTGGGTGGCACAGTCTGCCCTGTGACCCTGACCCGAGAAGAGTGCAGTCTTGGTGTCAGGACTGAGATTCTTTGGGGGTGTATTCCAGTACGAGCTCAGTGTTGGGCAGTGTGAGCTTTTGCATCATGGGTAGCGGGCTGACATGGTGACCAGTGTGAGGCTGTGGAGAGCACGGTGAGCAGTCAGCTTCCAGAAGTGGAGATGGTGAGGAACCATCCCGCGGGCCCCGCAGCCCTCGTGGACAGAGCCTGGGTGCTGTCTTGTCCACCAGGGCCTGGCTGAGGAGCAGACACTGAAGTATGTTGCCTCAGCCTCTGTTCTCTTAGGAGGAGCTGCATGGATGTGGGAGATGCGTCGTGGGCATTGAACATTTAATCTAGACCCTGAAGGGGTGAAGCTCGGTGTCGCTCATACTGGGATGACTTCTGTTTCTGAGGGAGAGGGCCGACTGCTGGGCGGAAGCTGCACTGCCGGTGGCACTTCCTCTTCCGCTGTGTCCAGCAGTCAGCACTGGGGTTCACATTTCCCCCCTGTTGTGCATGCATGGGTGCATTTCTGTATTTCGGGATGGAGGCGTGGAGCAGGCTGGTGATTTGCTCAAAGTCACGCTGGTGACTGGAACCTGATCCAGGGCCTTGGCCCTTAGGCTGGTGGCCTTGTGGAAGGATGTGGGCTGGGTGTGATCCCTGGAAGAAGGCTGAGCTCCGGTGAGGCTCCTCAGCCTCCTGTGTGCAGCCTTCCCTGTGAAATCGCAGGCTCAGGTTGGTGCCTTCCTCCCTGGCCGCATCTGCACTGTCTAGGTCTGGCTTCCCACCTCGGTGCCATTGACATTTTGGCTGAATGAGTCTTTGTTTTGGGGCTGTCCTGCCATTGGATGGGCCCACCCCCCAGTGTGAGAACAAAAAGTCCTCTTCTAGGGGTGGAGCCCCGGGAGGTGGGGTCTAGCAGAGAACTTGGAGCCGTCATTCCCATTCTGACTGGTGAGGAGGGGATATGGAGTAGTTGAATTTGGGGTGTGTGTGTGTGTGTGTGTGTGTGTGAGAGGGGTGGAGCAGGGCCTGGCCAGTGCTCACCTCTGAGCTGCACCCCGCTGCCTCTTGCTGCCCGCACTGGTGTGGAGCTCAGCATAACTCCTTGTGCAGAGTGCCTGGTATTCACTCTGCTCTAACGCAGTGCCCGCCCCTTCCTGGGCAGTGAAGCCATGTCAGTTGGGAGCGCTGACGAGGAGCAGTCTGCATGCAGTCAGCACAGGAGCATTGTTGTCCTCCATACCTTGAGCCTGTGGGCCGCTGAATCCACGATGTGACGCGTGCAGTACTGGGCATACATCCCGGAGCGGTCAGCTCAGGGTGACGAAAGCCGTGGGGATGAACCCTGGGAGAGGGGAGCGGAGGATAGCGTCAAGCAGGCGGCGGCCAGGGGAAGGGAGGCCAGTGACCTGACCTGATGTTCAGCTGTGCCCAGTGTGCCACCCCGGCCGTGGTCACAGTGTGATGCAGAGCTGCAGGCGGGGAATTCGGGTTCCACCAGCCGCACAGTTGGAGAAGTGGTTTTTTTTTTTTTTTTTTTTTTTTTTTTTGTCTTTTTGAGACTCACTATACAGTTCAGACTGGCCTTAAGCTCACTTTGTAGCCCAGGCTGGTCTCAAACTCACAAGGACCCTCCTGCCTCAGCCTCCTGAATGCAGGGATTACAGTTGTGCCACCATGCCTGGCTCTCAGGCAGTGTTTTGAGGAAATTACTGGCTCTCTGCAGTGTTTACCCTGTGACTGTCA